TTCACCTAGTCCCGTGCGGACTAGGCTTCGCGCGCCTGTCTCCCAATCGCGCGCGCCCTGCTGTTGCCGAACTCCTCGTGCGCGTGCGTACCGTCGCCCAACACTCCTACGCCCACTCGACTTAGGACGTCGCCCGCGTTGCCTTCACTCGCGCGCCCAACGTGCTCCGCTTTGTCGCCGCCCTTCGTCCGCGCGTCCCAGCCACCTCCGTGGTTGCTGCCCACGCTCGATGCCCCCGCACCCTTCTCGCGCTCGTCTGCCAGCTCGTGCGTACCATCGACGCCCGTGCCCAAATCACCTAACGCGGACCCGCGTGCACCGGCTGCTCCGTGCACGCCGCCAGTCCCCGTGGCCTGCTCGCCCGCCGTGCATCTACGTGCATCCTGCTCCGTCAAACCGCGCGCGTCATGGGCCGATGCGCGCCATTCGCCCATTAGCCGATCTCTGTCGACCTCTTTGTTGCCGCTCGACTCCGTCTACTTGCCCGATGGTCCTGGCCTGTCCCATGGGTCCCATCCTTCTACACACTTATCTTCCGTCCCCTTAAAATCTCTGGCACTCCATGTCCATCCATCCTCCATCCTTTGTTTACTTCGCCTTTGAGCCTCCATCTTCCATGCTCGCTTCTTCCTTGCACAAAGCCCGCAACAATGACTCGCCTTTTTAGCCTTTGCCTTCCGTCGTCTCTTAGCCTTGCGTTTCCTAGCCTTCAGCTTCGACTTTGGACCACCTCCTTTTGGCCAATCTCTCACGCATGATGGTCGGTAAATCGGACTAGATGGCTCCTCCAGCACATCTTCCAACCATAAATCGAGATCTTCGATCATTCCATCGCTTGACTCACCGGGGTTGATGACCACTTCCGTATCACAGCGCGCCCGCGCGCCCAACAACGTGAAACTCTCGATTACAGTCAATTGGGAACTCATCGCTGCGTTCGTTACAAATATAGCAAGGAGAGTTGTACAGACTAGCAGTGCTAAGATATTTGCTTACTCCCCCCCCTCTCGAAGAATAGGTCTACTATGCTTCGGTCGGAATTCCCCATTTCGTTATCCTCCAGACCGCCATTGCGATAATAGCCACTACCCTTTGATTGAAGCCCTTTCTTTTGTCTCACTATCTTAACTAAACTAAGAGTAGACAACATATGAGACGGAATGGTTCAAGCTCATCGAACAACCGCCCCCCCAAAAAGAGTACCGAGAGTACCTAATACTGGGCAGGGGCAGAACCCCATGCTATATGAGATGCAACTTTCGCAATTTCAATTATCTTCTCTCTTAGGGAAAATTGGATTGCTAACTTTCACTAGTCTTTGATCCGCCCCCCTCGTCGACTAGCTTAATTGGATTGCCTACTTCACAGTGACAATTCCTCCCACGCTGAAAGAACTGAACCATACCACCCCCTCTCCCTGTCAAAATATTTGGTTCAGCGGAAGTGGCTAGGCAGCTCAAGAATGCCGCAAGTCGCGCCTATCACGCACGCAAGAGGATGGCACGTGCCACAAGCGAGACTCACGTCTTGGAGCAGGATACGTGCATGGGGCGCGAAAATGGCCAAGCAACGGGCAAGGACGACGGTGGGCGACTAGCGTGCGAGACGAGCGAATGGGCTGCCACTGCCGTAGGCATGAAGTGATGGCCAAGGGTGATAGCACACAGTTTGCGTGGTGCGCGGGCAAACGGCACACGCGCGCGACGTGCACATCGGAGCAGCGCGCGGAGGACGCAGTCGACGCGGTCGATGAGGGAGCACGCGCGGTACGA